TGTGTGTGTGGCCAGCTCAGCCCACCAGGGGGCGGGGCTGGCTGGCATGTGGTGCTGGGGGATTGAACCGCGGTCCCTGTGCTTTTTTGCTAACCTTGTTCTAAGTAGGTGCTTTAGACCACTGAGCCATCTCACCAGCCCCACGCATTGCGTCTTTTTTTTTTTTTTAAATTTATTTATTTATTTTTTGTGTGTGTATGTGGCCAGCTCAGTCCACCAGGGGGCGGGGCTGGCTGGCATGTGGTGCTGGGGATTAGAACCGCGGTCGCTGTGCTTTTGCTTAGCTTAGCTTGTTCTAAGTAGGTGCTTTAGACCACTGAGCCATCTCACCAGCCCACGCATTGCGTCTTGATCCTTTTTGTTTCCTCTCCCTCACCTCTCAGATTCTTGTCTTTAGAGCCTGCGGGAATGAAGTTTGGGAAGCACAGGAGCTCTCTTTAAGAGCACTGGAATGAGCTTGTGTCAGTGTGGGTCTGAAAGCCTCCTTGTTACACGGCATGTCTAGTTCCACTTCTGGCCGTTTCTGCTGTTTCTCAGATGCAAGGCTATTTCTAACCCTAGTTTCCAATCCTTGAATCACATTTACCTTCCCCCCCCCCCCCCCCGTATTGTAGGGAAGGGTCTACAGGGTGTTCAGGGACTCACTACTAGATCGGACTCGCAGCGATCCGCCTGTTTACAGCCTCCCACGAGCTGGGACTACGGGAGCGCACCACCACGCCCAGTCTCAATCACCAGCTCCGCGCATGCCGGGGGCGAGGCTGGCACGGCAGGCTGGGGATCAAATCACTGGCCGCTGCACCTGCTTGCAGGCGCTTTAGTCGGCTGAGCTGTTTGGTCGGCCCACATTTTCTTTTTCTGAGATTCTCACCTGAAGTATGTTCCTAAGAGTTTCTGTTGCCTCTTCACTTTACCTCATCCGCAAGCCCAGTCCTAACCTAATTCCGAAGCCCTGACCTTCACCTCTCTGGAGCTAGTTGGTGCCCTCATGACTGCCTCCTCAAGAGCCATCCGGTGACTCAGGGCAGAGAGGAACCCGCCAGCCAGACCCCAGCTTTCTTCACACTGGACACAGCTGGCTGGAATGGGACAGGCGTTTCCTCAGTGCTGGGAAGCCAGCTTCCAATGGGAGAAGCCTTCTCTGATGGAAAACTTGAAGATTTCCTTGTTTTTAATCCTCTCCTCAACTTGTAATTCCATCTCTGTCACTCCCTAGTCCTAATCTCCAGTTGGTAAGTCTTTAATATGAATCAAATAGCCCTTCCAATAAAATTATTTCTACTATTTCATCATATACCTTATCCCCCTCTAGGCCTGATCCTATATATATGAAATAAGAATAGAGAGGGGAAAAACTGGTCTTGAGTTAAGCCTCTTCCCACCTCTTCGTATGTATAAAAATGTCGCTCAGCGTTCTGTCTCTGTGACAAAATACTTAAAATAATCAAGTTAAAAGAAGGAAAAGCTTATTTCAGCTTCCAGTCTAAGAAAGTTCTGTCCACTTGTTCTTTGGGCCCTGGGGCAACACAGTAGATTGTGACAAAGCACGTGGCAGAAGGCCCCTGTTTACTTCACGGCACTGGATAGAAAGCCAGGACCCCACAGTCCCCTTTGAGAGTGTGTTCCTTAATGACCTAACTTACTTTAACTAAGTCCCACTTCCAAAAAGTGCCACCCTTCGAGTAGTGGCATGGACTGAGAACTAAATCTTCAACACGTAGACCTTGGGGAGACGCTCAAGACTCTCACTGTAGTGATGCCCTCTGAGGGAAGTCTAGATTTTAGAAAACTTATAAGGAAGGCCACTTAACGTTGGTTGTCAATGCTGTGAGAATGCTGCTTAGCTAGCGGCCTCACAGTGCCGGTATCATACAGCAAAGCTCATGCCTTGCATATTCATGCAGAGTGGTCCGCTAGACGGCTGATCCTGGTGAACGTCTACGTGTCTGTGTGTCCCTGGTTGTACACTGGTGCTTCACATGTTCCTCCTGCTCCAGCAAGCTTGCCTGGGTATACTACTGTGTCAGGGATGTGGTGCTGCACCAAAAGTTGATGTACAGGCTTTTCTAAGCTCTACTTAGGTCGCACACTGCTAAGGACCAGTTTGACGTAGTATAGAGTAGGCTATTATTATTATTATTATTATTATTATTATTGTAGTCAAGTTCTCACTATGCAGTTCAGGCTGGCCTTGCGCTCACTTTGTAACACAAGCTGGCCTCAAACTCACAGTAAGCCTCCTGCCTCAGCCTCCCTAGTGCTGAGATTACAGGCATGCACCACCATGCCTGGCTGGAATAATTAGTATTAATAAATTGGCACAAAAATAAATTGAGAGTCTGTCCTAAGCCTACATGACTTGTGTTAAGATTGGCTGGCTTAA